CCATCCCTTTTCTCATAACAAGGGACCCAAACTAATTTGGGTTCCTAAATCTAACCCATGATTTATATGTGTAGGGAACAGTGGGAAGAAGTGGACTGCAATGGTTCATGAAAAGTGGATGCTAAAAACACATGACTAGAAACACCATGGTCTGTCTCTCATTGAAAGCCCCAGAAAAGGGAATGTATCCTGTGTATATATATAAAAATAAAGAAAAGTTAGGGGTTACATTCTCAGTGTTGAGAATATGGAAAGTCTATGTCACACTCAATTGATAACGTGTGCTATGTGAGTTTCCTGAAGCACAGTCTCTTGAGTGTGTCTCAAATCTATGATAAACAGAGCAAAGTAGAGTTCTTATAAACAATGTGCACAATTACCAATCTGGTAACTGGTGAAGTGGCCTTAGTCACCAAAAGAACAAGAACATCTACTTCGCTGACCTTAAATCCCTACAAACTGGTGATATGAGCTGCTTAAAAGGTTGTTGGCAATGATGCAAAACCTTGGCATAAAGGATTGGAACACTCAAGGCTCTCACTTCTGAATGAACTGTTTTAGAAGAACCTGGTTCGTGGGCTGCCAAATTTAAGATCCACCTGGACATTGCTTGTTAGAGCAAAGGAAGAGACTTTTTAAGTATTTGTGACACTTGTCAGGAAGATCCAAGTGGAGACAGAATTGAAGGAAGCACGTATCATATCTGACCATGGGATAGAATATGTCAATGCAAAGATTTGATGAGTCTTGTAATGGAAATGGGATCACTCACTGTGACTTAGCACCAAGTACTTCACAGCTAAATGGTGATTACTGAAAGCAAGATCAAAACTCTGGAAGACATGGAATGGATAATGCTCATTGACGGGGGAATCGCCAAAAATTTCTGGGCAGAAACAACAAACGAGGCTTGCTACTTGGTGAACAGGTGTATAATCAGATCCCTCCTAAACAAAACCTCTGTTGAGTCGCTCAATGGAAGAAAACCAAAGATAACTCATCTTAGAACCTTTGGATGCAAATACTATTTTGTCAACAACGGGAAGGACTAGCTCGGGAAGTTTGATGTAAGAAGCAACCCTTTTGGGATACTTCCCTCAAAGAAAAGCACAGAAAGTCTACAACAAAAAGGCACACTGTGTGGAATAAAGTGTTCATGTGATACTTAACGAGACGTCCCCCATCTAACAAAGGAAGGAACAGTGATGATCAAGAAATGTCCTTGAACCTGCAACGGTTAGAAGTGCGACCACATTTTCCACAATAAAAACACGATGGATTGTTGGGATACTCAAAGTCTATTTCTGCTCTGATTTTGTTCTTGCATTGGTTAGCGTTGTGACCATTTTTACCATAAAGAACGTGAATGAGAGTTTCAGTTCTAATCAAATAATTATGAAAAGCTGTTTGATTTGATTTGACAGAACTATAACTTGTGGATTTTTGTAATCCATTCAGTTGAAGTTGAAGTTCATTAACTTCTTCTTGAAGCATGTCATGATTAATTTCACAAACTTCCAGCTTCAAGGCCCAATCTTTCTTTTCTCTTTGGATTTTTCAGAGTTCATTTAGAACTATTTCAATATCTGCAAGAGCAATATCAACAAATTCCTGAAGTTCATTCTAGTTGGGACATGTAGGAAGACGTGCCTCACTGGTTCCTTCGTATGTCATAAGACCAAGTTCACATGAGTCTTCTTCCTCACCTGCTCCTTCGTCTGCCATGAGTCCAAGCTCTCCTGAGTCTTCATTGTTATCTTCTTTTATGGCCTTGAAAAACATATTTGCAATTTCTTCATGGTCAGATTCTTCTTGGTCACTCCAGGCTCCAAAGGACTTCTTCTTTTGAAGGTTCTTACTGAGCTTCTTCTTCAGTTTGGGACAATCAGCTTGAATGTGTCCATTTTTTCCACATTCATAGCATCTTCCATCATTTTCATTATTCATTCTTCCTTTTTTGAAGTTTGATTTACCTCTCTTATTATTTCTGTTCTCCTCATCATGCTTGTTACAACTTGGAGAGCATGGCTATATTTTCATCCTATTCTCCTCCTTCCTCTTCTTCTTCATCTTCTGGTTCAGCCACAGTTGCTTTAAAAGCAACTATTTTTTTTCTTTTCTTGTTGAATTTGCCTGTCCAAGTGAGTTTTCTCAAAGGCTAATAGATAACCTCTAAGTTCATCATAGGACATTTTGTCAAGGTCCTGACACTCTAGAGCAATGACCTTGGGTTGCCAAATTGTACTTCTAAGAATTTTTCTGACCTATTCTCCGCTCTTTATTGTTCTACCAAAGGATTTTAGATCTCCAAGAATTTTGTTGAACCTAGAGAACATTTCCTTTGTTGATTCTCCATACTTCATTTGAAATAGCTCATATTCACGAGCCAAAAGATTTATCCTTATTTCTTTTACCTTGTTGGTTCCTTCATATGTGACCTCCAATTTATCCCACATTTCCTTAGCAGTTTCGCAGCTTGATATCTTTTCATACTCTTCACCACTGATAGCATTATACAGTAGATTTTTTGCTTTAGCATTCACAATTATGACAGCAGCTTGCTCATCAGTGTAATCATCTAAATCAAGTGGATAGTTGATACTATGACTTGACTATTCTCATCTTTCTTTGGCAGAATTGGAAGATTTTTCTTTTTGATCACCCGCCAAACTTTGATGTCATACGACATGTTGTATGTTTCCGTACAAACTTTCCAATGAGAAAAGTGTTGCGCGTTGAAATATAGAGGTCGTACTTGAGAGGTTCCTTCTTGAAATAATACACCAACGACTGTGTTCGATCCTATGATCTTTTCCTCACTAGCTATTAAGAAAAGTTTGTGAGCCTTGCTCTGATACCAATTGAAAGTACAAGAGGGGGGATGGTGAATTGTGGTCTATTAAAATTGGTTGGCTAATTGTAAGTTTAGTCTTTTCTAAGCGAGGAAAATGCCTCTCTAAGAGAAAAACTTTTAATTCTTGACAAGGAAGCCACATAAAATTCTTCTTTGTTGTGTTGCTGTCGTAAAATAGCGTTCTTCATTTCATCGTCAATCTTCCAATTTCTTCCAGTATGTCGCTCCTCCAGCAAGGAGCGGAAGAACAAAGTTTTCTATGGTGATGTCAGAATTTACACCTATTTGTGACTAGGTTTTGCGCAACAAATAGGTAAAGTAGAGACGAACCAAACGAATTGAAAACTAAACAAGACACAACAGTTTTTATACTGGTTCGGTACCGGTTTGGTACTTACGTCTATTTTCCCTTGGGTCACAAGGGTTCTCTAGGATCTTGATAAAGAATTAAAACAGTGATGGTTTAGTGCGTTCACCACCATAAATGATTAGCAACAGTAATTTATGAATGTTGACACAACTCTCTTTTGTGTTCTAACTCTTCCTATCTTGTGACACTAATAAAACTCAAAAATATAGTGTTTGTGCTAAGAACTAGAGAGACTTAGAAGACAGTGTTTGTAGTTGCGTGAATCTTCTTCTTGAGATTGGTATTCTGCTTATAGGCGAGTTTGGGATCCGTTGCAGATTGATCTTGATTGAGGCACTAAACCTTCTAAGAGATTTTACCCAAGGGGTGCCTCCGAATCCTGCACTTAAGATGGCTTAGATTCGTTTATGTCCTTCTTCTTTCATGTGCTCATTTCATGGAGTGATTTGAGGCTTCCATTTGGTTGGATCTTCCAATATAGTCCTTGAGGAGAGGCTTGATATTCTCGAGCTGCACTTGATATGTTTCCTTTCTTAGACAGCCTCGATGACCTTTGATTGACACTGAGATGGCAGGACTAATTTGGTTCCTTTTTGATGGCTTGACTTCCTTTGATTTAGCATCGTCAAATCTTAAATTTCTTTATGATGGCTTGACTTCCTTTGTTTTAGCATCATCAAATCTTCGATCTTATTTCCTATTTGTTGATGCCCTTGGTGGTGCCTTGATACCTACAATCAAAGTAGATAGGATTTAGCTTTGCACAATTGTCATCATTGAAACTTAGAATAAACATGGTTGAGATCTATAATATATCTTATTCGAGACAAATGTGGTTTGGAGCGCGGCAAAGTATCCACGATTTTACATGAAGACAATGCAGCATGCATAACCCAATTAAAGGGAGGATTCATAAAAGGAGATATGATAAAGCACATTTCACCAAAGTTGTTTTTCTCACATGATCTTCAAAAGAATGATGATATCAATGTGCAACAGATTCATTCAAGTGATAATATGGCTGATTTATTTACGAAGTCTCTACCGACATCAACCTCAAGAAGCTAGCGTACAAGATTGGGATGCGAAGGCTCAAAGATGTGAATCGATGTCCTCATCAGAGGGAGTGAATATGCGTTGTACTCTTTTTTCCTTACAAGTTTTTGTCCTACTGGATTTTTCTTGCTAGGTTTATAATGAGGTAATCAAAAGGTGTATTTCTAAATATGTGTACTCTTTTTCCTTTTCTAGAATTTTTTTTCACTGGGTTTTATTTTAGTTAAGGTTTTAACGAGGCACATTATCTGTTGAATAGACATTCAAGGGGGTGGGGGTGTTATAAATAGTATTTAAGGTGAATGTCTATATTTTAGAGAGATCCTAGGGTTTTTAATTTGTGGCTAAGTCTTTTTTTCCTTGTAAATAGAGGGGTTCTATTCCATTGTAATTCCTCCCAAAATTAATAAAAATTCTCTCACTACTTTTCTGTGCATACTCTTCTTTCTTCTTTTATTGTTTTATTACAGAGACAACTATTTTTAGTAACGACGATGGTTAATACGAGACGGAGAGTATATTATATGTATATTTTATTTTAAATTAATATACATTTGGGGCGACTATATTAATTAAAAAATCCAATTGATTTCGCTTATTTTGGAAGGGGGTAATAAATTAATAATTGGTGGACCGAAATGGATATTTTGGGACAAGGCAGGTCGTGTTGATTGCTGAAGTAGTCCACGTGAATGGATGATATATATGGTGATGAGCCTAACTGCCAAACAAGAGAGGAAGAGCTAATGTGCACACACCCACTTTCCCGGGTAAAACATCACAACAATTCCTTCAATATAATTCCTCTTCTCTTTGGCTGCAACTATAAAACTTACCATGGCATTAAACTTACTTTGAAGCTTAGTGGATAGCTGCTCGTGAAGAAGTAGTTAGTTATGAGGGTCATTCAAACTGCTGGGTCTAATTACTCATTTCTCCTCCAACAATGCTCCTTTTCCAGGTGAATTTATTCTTCTTCTACCCCAATTGTTATATTTTTTGGAGTTCTACTATGTAAAATTATGATATTACTGTTCTTGTTGGGTCAGAGTGGGGGTGGGGCGTGGGGGTGGGGGTTGGAGGGTTAGCGTCATTTTTGTTTCATGTCTTGACCTTGGAAAGTTTGTTGATATGGTTTTAATTCAGTCATAATAGAATCAAGATAATTTTCACCAACTTGTTTCCATTTAACTAGAAATTTCTTCATCATCAACGACAACAACCCAGTGGAATCCCACAAGTAGGGTTTGGAGAGGATAGTGTGTACGCGTACCTTAACCCTACCTATGAAGTAGAGAGGCTCTTTCCTAAAGACCCTAGGCTCAAGAACGTTAAAAATGGAGCAATAGAGAAACAATAGTAACAATAAGGTAATAAGACCGTGGAAACAAATAATGCAACGAGTAATGACAGAGATCCAGGGATACGAAACTGCAAGAATAGTGTCAATCCTACTGCTAATACGGACACATAGTATAGAAACAAGGGACTAGGAATAGGAAAGTACCCGACTACTACTACTACTTGTAAGACCACCCTAATTTTCGACCTCCATACCTTTCTATCGAGGGTCATGTCCTCAGTAAGCTGTAGCTGAACCATGTCCTGCCTAACTAGAAATTTCATGTTTTCAGAAATATATATGTCTAATGTTTGACTTAATTTCATTACTTGTTGTGAGCCTTATGCTTTATAAATGTTTTACAATGATAAAGAATAGAAAAGTAAAGGCGCGAAGGACAGAAAGGGAATGGTTGTGTATCTAAACAAATACAAAACTATTAAAAAGATATTTTTACACAAATAGCCGGCTGATTCACATTTTACTTTTCCTAGCCGGTTTACATTGATTATACACGGTTATATACATATTATGCATGGATTATACATATATTACACATTCACGGGCTATTGTTAGTTTAAGCAATTGGGCGGGTGGGTGGCTATTTAGGTTAATTCTTCTATTAAAATAGTATATAACTATCACTGGTCTCCTTCTACTTCCCTTCAACCCTGTTTCCTTCCAACCACACTCCTAATGTTCAAATTCATGTTACGGAATAGTAAGCGTTCGGTTTTTTTTTCCTTCTGTTCTCTTCATGCTATGGCTAATATAAAGCTGGTATTTGTTTCAGGAAGAGAATTGGAGTCGTCGAAGTGATCAAGTCTAATTTGTCAGACTCAGATGCCAAGAGAGCAAACCTTTCTGCCAGGAAGAAAGAAAGAATTAAGCTTCCCAAGCATGACGGTATTGGTGGAGATAATATATCATTTCATATAAGTGAATTTCTGAGCCATAAATCTGGTGTTGAAGCAATGTTGAACAAAAGAGCTTTGCAAAGCTTTGAATCTATTGATTCTAACATGTACAGGTAAGGATTTGTTTCGTCTTGTCTAGTGTCTTGGTCCAAGGACATTCCATCTTGCTCTTCTATCTTTTCTTCTTGCTGTGTGAAACTATTGCATTTTAACCAACTTGAACAATTTTTTTACTATTGTGGCTAGATGTCAAGTAGTTTTCGAGTTATCTGTTCATGTATTGACAAAAACATTGAATCCATTCATTCATACTTGTCGTCGTTACATAGAAAAGAAGTTTTTTGCAGAACAAACGCCACTGTGCAAAGAAATGAATTTGATCGAACTATTAAGCCTCTAAACAAGTGTTAGAGTACTGAAAAAGTTAAACCATTTCATACAGTTTTATGAATACTCTTATACTTCTATTGGTATATGAACCATAAAAGAGATGGCATTAGGCTCTATGCTGCATTCTAAATGACTTAAGGATCCACTTTTTGCACGGACAGATCCTGAAATATGAGTTGTATGATTACTATCAATTTAACCAATTAGTACTTGTAGTTTTTGGTACCTTCAGAAGTTTGTTTCTGAGATTCCGTAGTAGCTAGGAAAGGCTTAAAGATTTCTAAGCTTTGTTAATAGGTGTTGCCTAAGAACCACCTGAAATTTGTTGACTTAACCTGATTCTTGCTTTCATGTACTATTGTCCTTATCATTTGTTCAACGGCGTGAGACTTGGTTTATTTTGCTTTTCTGCTTCGGAAATCTTCATATATGCTAGCTGTAGATTCTTGGTCTATGCTAGTTTTGCAAACAAATAATCGTTTGGTATATCTGCCCCCTCCCTGTTAACATGCGGTACTTCAAAAGAAGAAAGTAATTTAGCCCCTCTGCTTGTGATATCAAAATAAGCTTATAACCTAATCATTTTTGGTAATTAAAAGCTAATTAGCTAACTGGTTCTCACTGCAAGGCCACCACCTTAAACCAAAACTTACCTTTACTGTTTGTAACTTAAGAAAGAACTGCCTGTTTGGCTGTTATCCCACTAGGAAAGATGATATAACTTAAAACTGCGGCTAAATGAATTGAAAGCTAATTCTTATGATCGTCCAATAATACTAACCAAGTTGCAACGGAAGTTTTCAAGAGCCAACTGATTGTGAATTGAGTAACAGGCAATGAAATGTGCAAAATCAGCAGCTTACGCGACCAAACTGCAGTGACAACCAAGCAAGATCTTCTGATGAATTCTTCTGACGGCTAAAGTATAACTGTATCTAAACGAGCATTCTACCCTAAAGCATAGAGGATGACCAATGAATTCCAGTAATGACTAATCAACAATGGACATTCTAAGTGGCCTAACTTCTTACTCAGATAGTGAGCAAAATATAGAGACCTGGTGCTGTTGTTGGATAGATGATTAGAGTTTATCAACATAAGATAGATGTTATGTGATGATTAATATTCTTAATACAGATACTTTATAAAAATTTGGTAAACTCCAGCCTTTAAACCCCCCTCCCCAAGGCCCTATCATGTTTTTTTCTTATTTTCCCCTTGTGACTCAAACTCCCAAGCTCTTGGTTGGAAGCGAAGGGTTTTATCACTTGAGTAACCCTTTCTTTCCTTCTCGAATGGAGATATCAAACAACTTGGGGTAAATTTAATAATTCTCTTCTCTCCTTTTAGTCTGCGGATATTACTTCCCATTATTTAACATACTTAACTAAATGGAGGAGATGATATGCTTAATTAGGTTCTCTAACTATTTGGGGGAGTAGATTTCAATTCCACTAGGTAATTATCAGTCTATACCTGAAATGGAAGTGTGTAAATTGAGAAGATATGAAATCCTCAAGAACTATCCTGCATGAGAAACTTTCATGTACCTCACATAAGGTTAACGTTTGGCATATTTCCTGTGTTTCTTGAGGTATCCATAAAAGATATGGCAAGGCAAAAGTAAGAGCAAAATTCAACATAGATAAGGAGATTTGGATAGAACCGTTCGGTAGAACCGTCAAATAATCACATTATGAAAAATGGTTTGCAGCCACTGAGAGTTTCAACTACTTTGGCGCCTTTTCAGTTTGTGATGGATAATCAGAAATGTTCATGTATTGATACCAGATACTAACTATTTGTAAGTGAAAATAGTTCATCTTCTTCTTGCCAGCCTATACATCCCAAATAAGAGTTATAAGATATTGCTGAGTATGTTACTTGCAGGTGTACTCTACCACAAGTTCAACTTCTGAATTTTGAAGTTGCCCCTGTTTTGATTTTACAAGTGAACCCAACCAGCGAAGACTGCACTGTGGAGATGTTGTCTTGCAAGGTAAGGCTCCCAAAGACTGCGTAGGTAATAAGCATAGATTGATTCTACCTCAAGTATAATATCCCTGATTCTGGAAACATCGCCAACCTAAGGAAGCAGTATCTGTGATGTGCTGTTCAATGCCTCTTTCTTTGAGACCAAGAATCTTCCAAAGTTTCAATCACACTTGAAATGTTTCATGAGCTAGCTAAACGCATGGAAATGTTTAGTTGTCTGAAAATGATATTATGTTGTGTGATCACCAGTTAATATAATTGCTATGGGGATTAAAATATCCGCAGTTGCAGCTACTGCTTTTAATCTAGTTAGTACCATCGAAGAAGAATTTTATCTGGAGTGATATAGAGAGGAGGAGATAAAAGAGTGTAGTTAAGGGTTAATTTCCCGATGATTGAACAAGCAAGAGGACAGTTTTCTTCTGGACATTAGCTTCTCCCACGTTTAACTTAATAATTCTTCTTTGTAAATGAGTCTTGCATATATATTCATCAACCTTCCTTTCGAATACACGTAATTAACTAAAGGAAAAATAAAACCTGATAGCTTAAGATTAATCGCTAATATGTACAACCATCATCTGCTGAGATTCTACGTTTCTTAAATTAGTTATCGTTCAAGAAGTTGATATGTAAGTGCCTAATGTTCATTGCAGTTTGAGGGTTCTGATTTGGTAGAGCAGCAGAATGACCACTTTTCAGGTATATCAAAACAAGATTAGAGCATGACATTGTTATTAAATTGAACGAAAATGGGCTTTTGTAACATACTTAGAATTTATAATTACATGTTTACACATGCAACTTTTTTAACTTGCAGCATCAATGGTAAACCGTATAACGTGGGAAACAGTTGGATCTCAGCCTTTCCTAAATGTTGATGTGAAATTAAATATCTCTCTTGAGGTTATTCTCTCTCTCTTTCCTCAGAATGTTTTATGCTTATTCTCATGCCAAATTTCCTGTGATAGATGTCGGAAAATTTCTCAGAAAGAAAAGGCTACCCTATTTTACTTTATCACTTTAGCAGTACTGATTTTTCTTCTTAGAATTTCTCCAGGACAGTCTCAATCTGAATGTTGCAAGTGTTATTCTTCATTCTTAGTTTTGACAGCATCGCTTGCAAATAATATGATTACAGATGGAGTTGATATGGGGAACGGGAAGAGCCAAATTTATGATTTAAGTTCAATGGGTTTAACCTTAGTATTATGGGTTTAGACCTACTATTTATTGCAATTTTAGTGGATTTTATACATAAATTTATGTTCTGCGTTGAAAGTAATGGGTTCAGATGAACTCGGTGTCCGAGTGCTACATCCACCATTGGGAACAGATGAGGGATTAAAGGCTAAGTTGCTTTGACAGGACAGTTTAGGTGTTGCACCCTTGTCGATAAGACACTAGTATAGATATGGGTATGGGATCCGTACCGGATCTGGTCAAACAATTTTGGGTACTTTGACCACGATGGACGAAAAAAATTGAGACGAGATACAATTTGATTCCCTAAATCAGAACCAAAACTAGGGTAGCATGACCTTATCTAGAAAATTAATCCTTTACTTATCTACAGTTTGAGATTAAAAAAGAAATCCACAGTTTACAAGCTATACGTAAGTAGTACACAAAATTTCTCATAATTAAGAGATTTTTTTATTTTTTTCATTTTTCTGGAAACAACCTCTCTATCCTCCAAGGTAGGGATAAGGTCTGCGTATACACTACCCTCCTCAAACCCCACGGTGTGGTATAATACTGGGTATGTTGTTGTATTTTTTTGAATTATTTTTAGCCGGATCCCCGCTCCCATCTCCGTACTAAGATCTGTATCCCACACACGTGTCAGACACCCGCACCCGTGTCCGAGCAACTTAGGTTAAAGGAGTACAAAGTTGAAGGTAGACAGCATGAATATGCTCGTGCATGTTTACATACATGCAGCAAGGGATAAAGAGAACCACTTCCTTGTCCTAATATCCGACGTACAATATAAAACCTTTTCCTATACTAACCAGGAAAAATAAATGTTGCTCCTTCTTAGAATCATAGCTGCCTTTCAGTTCTCATTGCTTATTTACACCTTTGGAACAGTTGGGAAAAAGTACTTTTACCATGCCATCCATAAAACAGTCAGAAAGTAGAAGCCTTATTATCAAGAATGTTAGATTGATAGCACATAATACAGGGGTGGAGGAACAAGCCGAACTACGGGTTCGGCTAAACTCTGTAGCTTTTGCTCAAACAATCTATTTGGTGTTTAAAATTCATCAAATATGTACAAATGTTAAATTTAGAACCCCGTCATTAACACTTGAAGTCGTGTACTAAAATCTAGAACCCATAAGGTTGCAATCATGGCTCCGTCTCTGACATTATATGCGGGATATAACATGATTTGATGGGTTCTGAAATCTATCAATAATCTCCAGACTGTTGTCCCTCTCCAGAAAACCGAGGTCTAAATGTATTTGAATGAGTAGATTCTTTTAGTGAAACTTATTGTTAATCAGAGATATATTTCCTTTGAATCTCTACGACATTCCAGTACAATTATCATATTGACGAGAAAACTTTCTTGTATATTATGATCCTCTCAATGGAATTTGTCACCTTAGATTGTATTTGCAGATATATACCATGCCATTTACCATGCTGCCTACTTCTGCTGTTGAGAGTCCCGGTAACTTGTGAGTCTTTTGCTAACTTTGCTTTACTCTCTGTGATCACAAAGAGTTTTAGAAACAAAAATTGTAATGTAAATTAGATATTAACCAAACTCTGTTCATTGACGTGTGTTTTCCTGTACCTGGATTTTTCTTAGAGTAAGGACCATATTAAAGTAATGTAAATAATCGGAGTGTCATACAAGGTCTTTGCTCTGATTTAGACATGAAACCTTTTGCACCAAGCTTGGTCCATCTCATTTGAACCTAAATACATCTGCATGTTTCCATTTGCCAAGTTCTATCGATAATTCCTTCACTCCAGAAGTTAAGGTGATCATGATTAGTTAGCACAGACACTTTTTCTTGATCATTTCAGCATATAAATGAACATAGACGTCTTCATAGAGCCCTTACTTGCTGTAAGGGTGACAAATTCCCGCAATAAACTTTTCTTGGTATTGACCTCGTGGAACAGCCATTTCCATTGGATAGATTCCTTGTAAAAGTGCTTTATACAACATAGCTTAAACTTGATATTAAATGTCTTGATGATTCTTTTTATGGGACTTGTCGCTACGGACATCAGTTGAACAATCTTTATCATGTTGAAAACAAAGTTCTGCAGACAATCTAATAGTTTCAAAATGAAATGATATTTCAATCGTAAAAAATAGAAATGACCCTCACAATTTTTATACTCATTATACATCTTTAAGAATTCTAAAATACCTATTTCTGTAACTTTTGAATTTCATCTCAATCCTTATCACGAACTATGTTTCACACAGAATGATGCAGGCTTTAGTGGACAGGCTAGTACCGTTGCTTTTGCAACAACTGCTTCAAGATTATGACAACTGGGTTCAGCAACATCAGAAATCTCTGTCGTGAATCCAACTCCTTTATACCTGAGTAAGTTAACTACATTTATGGCTTGGTGAGGAAAATATAATGAAACTCCGTCTAGCTACAATACTCCATGTGAGCCCGTTTGCTCCATCCTTGGTGGGTAAGTTTAGCCACCCAGACAACTGTACTTGTGGGTTGTTGGCTTGTTGCAAGCTTTCAACTGGGTGGTGGACTAGTCTAGGTGCCCAAGCTGGTTCGAACATCAATCATATCTATAAAGTGTATGAAATTCCATACTTCCAAGGTCCAAGTGTAAGCTGCCTATTTGATGCTCATTTCTTTGTGCAAAATGTCAATCATCTTTAGTGATATCAATTCATTCAAGTCTGTCAGGTCGCCGGTGTCTGAAGTCATCGTAAGCTTGCTACATGCTAACTTGTTTTCTTTTCTTTCAAAAGCAGACCATGTTCTCCTCTGTTTAATCCTTCGCAAAAGGACCATTAACTGTATGGAGATTAGTGTTGGTAAGGGGATTAAGGAACAACAGCAACACATGTTCAACTCTAAGAATGTTGTTCATGGTAAATTAGAGTAGTAAAGGTTGCAACACATGCGATTTTTCTGGGGCTGCGGCTGACCGCTTATCTTGGCAACACAGCCCATATAGTTTGTCATACTAAAATTGAGATAAACCGATGGCAAAGTAATCGCCCTCATTAATAGAAGAGCTCATGCACATCAGTAAAATCTTCACAATTACTTGTCCAAAAAATAAAAATAGAAGAACGGATGTGTATGCTAAAGCTAGTGCTAGACCTGTATGTATGCATATCTTCCATTCCTCGACGCCTTTAGCATAATATATTGGCCATTTCCGCTCGGAAAAGACCGAGCTTTAAGGTTTTTCAAATCAGTATTCGAAGCAACATGCTTGGGAAGGCAACGCAATCTAAATTCACCAGAAGGAAATAAATGCATACAAAGGCGAATCCAGGATATAGAGGCTCCGAGTGGCACTAATTTTGAATGTGGTCATGTTACAATTTACATTATCTAAAAGGGTATAAACTTAATCGGTCTATTTGAGTTTCGGTTCAGGTTATTCGTTTTTGGAGTTAATATAAACAAATCGGTCAAGCAAAAAGATTATGTAATAATTATGAAACTTGGAAAAAAGCATAAAAATTCAACTGGATTATGCATTTTGTACAAGAAAAAAGGCTCGATATCACTTTATATTTAGATACTTAGCAAAAACTTACACTAATAAGCACTCTAAACATTAAAACAGAATTAAGTTTACAGATATTTTTTAATTTATATTTTTTATGAAAATTATCTCACTTGATATTATATGCAATTATCCTACTTTAGAGCAATTTGACAACAAAATAAACTTTCATCATTGATTATAACAATAACTTATCCTAAGGATATTTTTTAATTATTATTTTGGTTTCTGCTAATAGATTACCAGAGTTGTGGTCCTGAAAAGATAGTTAATTTTCATTATCTATTGATAAATCACGGAGGAGTTAGAAAAGTGCAACAATGGGTTTTCTTTGAATAGATTTGTGAAAGAATTTTTTTTATATCTTCTGTTAAATGCTTAAAGGAAAGAAAAAGACAAAAGAAATTTCAAAAAAGAGCAATTAAGGAGAGAGAAAGAAGAAACAAAAGATCCTCTTGTAATTGCAGTTGTCTTAAATGCACCAAACAAACACCTTGAGATTTTTTATTACTGAGGGTGCCACTTAAATAATTTGTATACATTCCTTATATATATATATATATNTAGCACCCCGTCCCTTACACATAGGTCCACCCCTGAATGCATATTGTAAAAGGGTTTTGGCACAGTTACCCACAAAAACAAACATATTTACCCTTGTCTACCCATTTATTTTTCTACCCATAAACTAATTACATTTCCTACCATAGTAGTTTTTGTGGGGAATTTTTTCTTTATTCTCCAATTCTTTTTTATTTCTATGCTTCTTTTCTTTTTTTCTTTTTTTTTCTTTTCTCCTTTTCCTTTTTCTCGTTTTCTTCTTATTTTTTTCTTTTTTCGTTTTCTAATTTCATTTAATTTCTTTTTTTATATTCTTTTCCTTTTCATAATATAATTTCATTTACTGTTTTCACTATTTTGTATTATTCTTTTTTTTATGTTATTACTAAAGAAAAATCAAATTGTGTACCAATTAAATGTAGCTAATACAATAAAAAAATATTAACTAACATATGATACTACTATAGTATATAGCTATACCAACAGGGTACACAATTGTACGCAGAGAGTTAAAAAAATTAATTCAATTATTAAACTGAAATAATATCAGTTGTCAATAAAATTTTCAAAAAAATTCTAAAAGGATCTAATTGTAAGAGTATACCGTTACATTATATAACATACTATAATTTTATTTTATTTTTGCATTTTCAATTTGCCCCCCACGCTGGGTAAAAGCTTAAAGCAAATTAAAAGGGAAAAGGCAAGTGAATTTACGGGGTAATAAGTGTACTATTATAGTATATTGTATACTATTACAGCATACTGTTACAGTATATTGCATATTATTACAGTATACTATAACAATATATTGTATAATAGTATACTGTTGCAGTATAACTATATACTCATAGTATTTTGTATACTGTAGCGGTATACTGTTAGGTAATTGTGTTCTCTTCGATTATTACAATAATACTGTTACAGTATATTGTAAACTATAATAGTATATTGTTGCTGTATAGCTGTATACTCCTACAATATATTGTATACCGTACCAGTATACTATTGGGTAGGTGTGTTCTTCGATTTTCAGCTGAAAATTTCGATCTCAATCACCTCAAATCAGCTCCAAATGCTATCAAATTTCAGTATGAACTTCCTGAAGGTATTATAAGTAATATTTAACAGCACCCACTTTGAATCAATCAAAAAATCTTCAAAATAAAAATTTTAAGCGAAGGTAAGAGCACGAGCTAGGGAAAGAACAATCAAGAAAAGTGGAGCATAATTGAAACTAGCCATTTTCGTTAGTGGAACAGGATTGATCCACATAATCTTCGTTAATTTGAGCGTTGGTAATAAGAAGGTCAAAATCTTTACCCCTACCAAAATGCTTGGATTCAAATATTTTTAATTTCAAATTCCCAACAAAAATAAATTGATGAAGAATTGGAATTGAATCATAATCTTTAGCACTTTTATACTTCAAATATACAGCCATGATTGAATTCTTTTTCCTAGAAAAAAGAAATCAAGAACAATAATAACAAAGATGTCATGTTGTCAAGAATACGATAGGCCTAGTTCAAAATATTGAAATACAAATAGAATCGATACAGAGTTGAACCAAAATAACACCAAACAGATTCACAGAATCGTATCAGCTAATTCTCTTGACGAACTCACAATTCTTCAACAGGCTTCAGTCAGCACTAGGGTTTCAATTTGGACCCAGCACGAACAATAACCAATTCAAATTCATAGACAGAAAACGCCGAGAGTTTAGATGGATGAAATTGAATCAAAGCATTGATTCTTCAAACGTACGCACAACAGGGAACACGAGTGAAACTACATGTGGATCAATATGTGCCCTCGTCCAAATTCTCAGTGTTGAAAGAAGAGCTATTTTAATAGAATAAATAAATAATCGGGTAAATAGTTTGGGCCGCATGGGTAGAAGTAGTTAATAGTTTGGATCTGAGTATTAAAGGATAAATAGTTTGGAATTAATGGGTATAAAGTGAGATTACCCCTTCTGTAAATGGGCATGTGGACCTTACCTCATAAGGAAGCCCACTGTAGCACACCCTCCCAAACAGGAAATCATAAAAGAGTTAAAAGAATGGCAATAGAAGAGGAATCATTACTTATGGTTAGCCCCAAGGTTTCACATATTGATTTTGATGATAACAAATCAACGTAAGTTTTAATCAAAGAACATTTAGTAGTGATAAATTTTTGCACGGGTTTATTTAGTAGAAAAAGATTTGGTTGGACTTTGGTTATAGAAGAAATAATGACATCAAAGAGTTGAATGGAAATCTATGAACAAGAATAGAAGTCTTGCAATTAAGGAAATAAGCAAGGATGGAAAGGGGACAAGTCTGTTGAAAATCAAGGAAGAAGAAATCACAAAGGAATCTGGAACGAGACTACAAGGAAGTGCTTTTATTAAGGATTTCTAGCTTGCTAAAACCTTGGCCAGAATATTTTGCAAGAAGACTTGAAGTAATATTGATCACACCAAAGAAGGAAGTTTACATGCCGGAGGAAGAAAATTCAATACAAGAAAGATTCTTATATACAACAATCAAGAATAATATTGAAGAGATCCAAGGTTGATTCTTTACTACAGGAAGGACCATGATTTTGTAGAGTATCAATCACAAAAACCTCAAGTCCAGTAAGGGATCCACAAATCAAGCCAGTAAAAGATCCAGGTTCAAGAAGATACATATGTGACCAGATTTTAGATAATACAAATCAAGATCCAGTAGAAGGAAGAGGATCTTGAATTTCTATCGGGTTATCTAAATAAAAGCTAAATTTTTTACAACCAGAAACCTATCATAAGAAGAAGATTTTAGAGTTATTTTCGGAAAACTCTATAAGGCATATGATGTCTAGGTTCAGTGATAGATTAGGAAATGTGAGAAATATTTTGGACAAACAATGAAGATGCATCCAGCAAGAATAAATTTTGATTCGTACTTCGCCAAAGAAGGAAATATTCAAATCTAAAGGGAGATTGGTACTACAATGAAAAAGAGATGAATATAAATGAAATAAAAAAATCCAACCTGTTGGAAGTACCAAAAATATAAAGGCAATTATAATATGGCTTATAGAAGTCAAGTGCATATATCTACCGAGGCCGGCTCCAACGAGATGAGCTTAAGCGATCGAAGTGACCTAACCTGGCTCCATCTAGAAGGTTGGAATCTTCGGGAATAACCTTTTTTGTCCGCTTTCAGCTATGGAATTGACTGGGTGGTAGAGTCGTGGAAACGCTTGTTTCTTCCATATTTTGGACCTTAGCTCCATGGAAGAATATGTTACTGCTGAAACACGGAAGAATTGAAATCTTAGNAAGGTTGGAATCTTCGGGAATAACCTTTTTTGTCCGCTTTCAGCTATGGAATTGACTGGGTGGTAGAGTCGTGGAAACGCTTGTTTCTTCCATATTTTGGACCTTAGCTCCATGGAAGAATATGTTACTGCTGAAACACAAAAGAATTGAAATCTTAGGAGAGGACTTCCAGGGCTCGATCTACGGCAGTGTCCCGTGGTGAATCCATACAGCCCTTATCAGTGTATGGATAGCTATCTCTCGAGCACAGGTTTAGGTTCGGATGTCGGTCTTCCTACACGCAT